TACTTTTCACACAAATCTGTAAGCTAAAGCTACGAATGACCAAATAATATGCAGCTCCCTTTTCTGCAAGCCTGAACGTCTCCATCTTGTTTTATTAATAGCTAACATGCAAGTAAGTTGTGACACCTGAGCACATCTGTTTTTTACAGCTAGATATTGGATGAAACTTCATCTGAAAATCAGTTGAGGAAGACAACAATCAAGGACTACTCTGGGGCAACTGAAATTAAAGACAAGATTTATAAAGCAGTAAGGAGCAAAGAACAAAAAAGACCCATTCCCAGTTTAAAAAAAGTGTAGAATATTCATCCAAGAAGCGGCCACAGTGCCTGACTCCACCCCCCCAGTAACAAACAAAACAGAGGCTGACAAAGCAATTAGTGCACAAACTAAACCAAAGGCTAATCTGTCCTTCCCTCAACAGAGGGAAAAAAAAAAAAAAAAGATATTGACATCTACACTTAAAACCACAAACTTACATTAAAAACTAAATGAGCGCTCTGATTTTAGGAAAACTTGTCTATCCATCTATCTGTTAAAAAAAAACCCAACACACACACAAACATATCAGTATTAAAGCATCTATTGATGCTACTTCACTCACTACTGAAGAGGAAGGGGAAAAAAAAAATTATTAAAAAAAAAATGTAGTTTTATCTACTTCTTACATAAAAACCCAAGAGCGCAGGATATACTCAAAGTTAAGGATAATTTCAGCAACTGCCACAAGCTACATCTTCTAACTCAAATTTCTCCTAACAGGCAAAATCATCTCAGGAGTAATAGATATTGGTCTTCTGTGCAGGACTCATCTACACTATGAATTAACTGTAGACATTTGATCCTTTTGCTAGCAATCTTCTGGAAGTTCTTATTCCAGAATTAAGAGTACCTTGTTCCAATTTAGCTTAATGCATTTAATCAATTTGGAGTGAGACACACTTATACCACAAGAGCTAGATGGAATTGAGACACTTAATTCTGAAATGGCAATCCAAGACCCAGTCATCTGGGTTTAGATTATAGCTTGCTTAGTTGTTTGAATGGACAATTCTGAGCATGTTTGAAGATGCCTATTCTTTCTAGTCTGAAGACCTCCTAATTCATGGGAACAAATCTCTTGCATTCACCGAGTTAAGCACCAAAAAATTGCCATCCCTCTGCCTAAATTCTCCACGGTCAATCCGACATAAACATGGAGTGCATCTAATACAGAGACAGGACTTAGGATTCTTTATGAAACCCAAGTAGTTCACCGATTAATGTTCACAGGAGAGCTACCAGGGTAGGAAACAATGGCAACACATCCTGTGTGAGCCTGGCAGTACCCTTACCCAGCAAATGGGAGGCTCAGTTTCCACAGCCTCCGGCTGAAACTGGCCATGGTGCAGCTGAGCATGCCAGCTTGCGTGGCCAGAAAGAGGACACAAAGATGTAGGCTGCCTCTGGAGCTCACTTGTCAGTGGACTACAGGAGGCAGGGGGAAAATCCAGACTACTGGTTAACCTCAGACAATTTCTAAAATTTGATTTATTGGGTAGCAGGAACTGCAGGCAGTAGCTCAGTACAAGCACACTTAAAGCATTCAGAAATCAAGAATTTCACCTCTCTATCGCACCCCCTCATGCTCCAGCATTCCCAACCCAGGAATCCACATCAATACTTTCTCTTTATTCTCCACCCCAAGAATTAGGATCCATCCCAATCTACTCAGGTCCATTCCTGTAGGGCAACTAGCAGAAAGTGCATGTGGGGAGGTCCCTGAAGTGCAGGGTAAGCATCTCCACAGAGACAGTGATGGATTGTGAGTGACTGCTTCTATATGGGACTTAACCCAGTGGTTTGTATAACCACCTCCACACAGAAAATTCCTTTGAACATACCACTCACAAGCAGTTTCTTTGGTAACCACCAAACTCTATCATACATAATAAACTTAATTTACTTGGCAGAGTCAAGACTCAAATGTTTGGAAGAACCTGTTGATCACTAGAGCTGTATATGCTAGGTACGTATTTAAGAAGTATTGCTATAAAAGCTGGGAATCATTATCTCTCCTCCAGTTATGTTCCATTATTTGGAAACTAGGTGGAGGTGCCACTATGTAAGTTCAGGAAATTAGACCAGTGCTCTAGATGCACTTCACTGGAGCTTTGAATCAAGCACAGGTAGGAGTTTCAAGAACTGCCTCTCCTCACATACCAAATGAGCTACAAGTCACCCAACACAGCACTTTAGATTAGGCACAATTTGGTAACCTGAACTTTTGTCATTAAAGCTCCTGGATTGTAAGCACTCAAGTAAATTACTAGATCTAGCCCAGAAAGTCATATAAAAATCAATATAAAAATTAAGTCAGGAATAAGTACGATGCTTTAAGTTTATAACCTACCTCATTTCATGCAACCTTTCCATTGCAGGCTAGCCCTCCACAGCTGCTGTAATCTGCAAATTATCACTTCTGTTCTAGCAATACTGTGTATTAAGTTAGTTTGCATATCTTCTATTCTAAACAAACTGATGCTGTTTAAGAAAAGCTATTTATGTCATGATTTATACTACCTGAAGAAACAGTGAAAAAGGTTCACTTCAATAAGAGGACACAGTAAGTTCATTTGGGTCAATACAGAACATAATGTAAGAGCTATTTTTGAGTAACAACTCTGCAGGTTCACTTACTTCACAATGACCACCACACTTGGGAGTTATTCTACAAACATACAAGCCCTAGAGATATGATATTATTGCTCTTCATTTGTGAATCTGAATTTAAACAGAAATTTCATAGACTGGGATCACTGAATGGAATTCTAACATTTCAACTTTTTATTTGAAAGTTGGGAGGCCCCAGTGCATGTAAATACTAGCCAACAGTTACATTTTCCCTTAGTTTTGTAAATTAAATTCAAACATCTCCAGTATTTCAGTTTTGACTCTGTAAAAGCTACACTTAGATGTAGTAATGGCCATGAATTAGACTTCTTTAAAGACTTACAAGGCTTCTCTTAAAACTTGTTTAGCTTTAACAGCCTAAGTAGAGCAAGAAGAGGCATTATTTATAATATATGATTATTCTAAGGCACACAAACCTGTAATTATTGTCCGAGACAGATAATACAAGAAATTAACTGTACTGTTCTCTATAAATGAGCTTTCTATGATATAAACTTTTTTTTCACATAGGCAATTTCAAGTTCTGGTTCAGATAATAAGCAGCAGCAGTTTACATATGCAATGCTAAAAAAAAGTCCTTCCTCTTTAGTTAATACTTTTTCCTGTGTGTTCCTATTTTGATGTAAATTAGTTACTACTATCAGACAAAGGGAAGAGAGAATACCAAGAAACATCCACTCAAATAAATCACTTTTTTGCTACTAAAAAATAGCAACATTTTTGTGTTTCACTTCAATATAAACAAGGTAGTCCCGAGTAGTGTGGTTCTACAACCATAGCAATACCCCTGAGATTATCTAATTTTATCACCTCAGCCATTACTTGAGGGGAGTCGGTGGAAATGCTATACAAGTAAATTGTTGATTAGCTCAGTCACACTAATTCCTGACGTAGCATTGCAACGAGAAGAACATAAAATTTGCTTCATATTATTGGTGAAGAGCTATTACTGAAACTATTCCCATCTACATACCCTTTATACTTACACCTGAGAGACACACAGTTATCAAGTAAGGAGATTACAATTGCACTTCTTCCAATTTAGTTAATTGGTATAGAATGAAGATCTGACTATAAGATGCAGCTTAAAAATAAAGTTACTGCTGTAACACATGAATGAGCAAGACAAAATGCATATGTATGTACACACACACAAACACAGTGAGCTTCAGTAACTAATAGAAATAGAAAACAGGATTACATTCAGAGTTCTGCCATGCTGCTACCTTCCTCCCGATCTCTAAACTAAGTTCTGTTTTAACCTAATCTGTAAGAATGTCTGACAGCTACAAACTACTTCTGATCTCATTTTCTACTTTCATTTGTATTTATTTCTCTCCATTCCAGGTTGTTCACTATTCTTTACAATCTAATCATAATTATTTAATATATCAGTATAGAGCTACAGGGCACTAAAAAGGTTTCCAGAAGCTTCATTATTGGCTTTTAGCTAAGATTACCTTCTTTGGCCATGTATTTAACCCTTCGTATTTTTGATTGAACCCCAGTAGTTTTTTCAGGACTTCTAGACACTATTGAAATTCAGTCATCTTTTCCTTATCCAGAAGTGGATGAGTTGGTCCAAGTTTACATGGTGTAGCTGTCTGCAATGCTGTGCCCTGCACATGGGAGGCATGCACTCGCACCAAAGCCTTTCACTATAGTGTGTCTCGTTTCTAAACGAGGCTTTTTGAGTATAATTTCAGAAGATGCACAAACTACATATAGTCTTACAGTTTAATCCTCCATGCCCTGCATTAGTCACATTTCCTAACCTTATCCCTCCGTTATTCCAGACAAGTAAGAGATGATTGTAAACAGGGGCTGCCTTCGTACATGCATCAAACAGATCTCCAAACTCCTAGAGGAAGCTAAATAGCTGTTTTCTGTTTGGTCCCTAACAGTAAAGCCCAACCATTTGTAAAATGAAAAAAAGTAGTATCTGATCACTTGCATCCACTAGTTTTCAATCGAACAGGAATTCACTGGTAGCCACCCAGAGCCAACCAATAAAACATTATTTTTTTCCCCATATCTTCAGAAGAGCCTTGAAGCCTCAGCATGTAAAAACTGACAGCCTCGCATCTGCCTCAACTACCTATCCGCAGTATAGTTTTGTAGTGTTGAAGTAATTAGATTTTTTTAAAACAGCAAAACATAACTTTATTTCATCTATTTTCTAGTGCATTTAAAAATAGTAATAAGACATACAGAAAGGTTGGAAGAAAATCCCCCTCTGCTTATACTGTCGTTGCAAGGTCCTGTGGCTAACCACATTTCTCACCTAGTGGAATTTTAGCACTGTGCAATCCAAACATTTGACCGTTTCACGTTACATTGGTTTTCAGTTCTGGCATATGCTTTAAGCTTCCCACTTCCTTCTTCAGAACATTAAGCAAAGTTCTAGAACTATCCAAAATCTTCATGTAAGCAGCTTCAGTTTCAGCAAGAATTTTATCAAGCTCATTCCGTGATGCTACCTTTTGGGCCAGGTTTTCACATACACACTCCAGTTGTTCACTCAGGACTTGGATTTCATGCTGGAGTTTATTTTTTTCCTCTTCTGCTTGCTGGATTTGTTTGTTCAGCTCTTCTTTTTGCATACACAAGTCTTCAATGCATTTCACTAGCTCATTATTGTAACCCTGAAGAACAGCTCCCTGCTGAGTCATCCTCCCTGAGCTCTGCCACTGCTCCCCGAAGTCCTCTCAGCAACAGCCTTTTGCACTCTAAAAAAAAAAAAACCCCAAACCAAAAAGACAACAGAAAACAAAAAGAAAAATCATGTAAGAGACTTATTACAAACAATGCTACACTGTCACAGACACAGCCACAGGGAAAGATGCTCTGTTTAACGTTAACATGCTAGTTCTGCGTTGCGCAGGAACTTTTCAGGAAGAGGGCAGTACAAAATTTGGAACCTACACTGTACCTTTACTGAAAACTGGTCTCTCCTATTATACCTTCATAGCAACGCTCAACTCCGGTATCAAAAAAAGTTCTATTGTGTTTTATAATATCTTAATACCATTCTGGATATACGGTGCTTTGTACCTCTGACTTCAAGGGTTCGGTCAGAAACAACCAAATGACCCTTTCCTAGAAGGCTCAGCAGTCACCACCGGCAGCGGTATCCACTCGGCCCCTGATGAAGAGGCTCGGCAAACCGAGCGCCAGGCATCCACTTCAGAAAGCCCGGGGCCACCTGAAGCAAACCGATCTGGCGCCCCCATGTTTACACCCCATACCATGCTCCCCCTCATAACCACGAGCCCAGCCTTCAGGACCTAGCCTATGTATTTTAGTACATTAATCTATTTACCCCATATACATATAATGCATGTAGTAATTTCATTACTATTCAATCTGGACACTAACACCTTATCCGCATATCTCCCACAAGGACAGACCCATGCCATGATTCTAAGGGATAAACCACTGTGTACTGTACTAAAACCATCCAAATGGTAGGTTTTACATAGTATAGTATTAATGATACGGCAGTGCTTGGTAGCACACTATGATTGGCCCCGCCCATTACCTGCAATATCTCCTGAAGTACATAAAGCAGGTACCAGGTGGATTTATTAATCGTACACCTCACGTGAAATCAGCAACCCGGTGTCAGAAAGATCCTACGCTACTAGCTTCAAGACCATTCTTTCCCCCTACACCCCTAACCCATCTTGCTCTTTTGCGCCTCTGGTTCCTTTTTCAGGGCCATAACTTGGTAAATCCCCTCAACTTGTACTTCACCGATACATCTGGTTGGCTATATATCACCATTTTCGTCCGTGATCGCGGCATTCCCTACTTCTCCTCTTTTGGTTCTCTTTTTCTCTGGGCGTCTTCAGGAAGCCCCTCCAGTGCGGCGGGGAATATCTTTCAAGACCTGAGCATCGTATGGGTGGCGGACTGTTTTTTGGCCCTCAAGAGTTACTGAATGATACGGTTTCAAGTATTAGGGGAATCATTATAACACTGATGCACTTTGCCTTGCATTTGGTTATGGTCTTTCCACAAACCCTTTATATGCTGCTATTTGATGAATGCTCGTTAGACATAATTTTTCACTTTTTCACCCTCTTTCACTTCCTCTAACTTTCTAAACAACACTAGAAAGATTTCATTAAAATTCACAACGTATTTTCATCACGAATTTTATTCATGATATTTACACATGTCAATAGTACTGGAGTTACATTAATAAATAAACTTTCCAATTTCTTTCTTTATCCATCTCACCTTCCTCCATGAATCCGGCTCAAATAACCCCCTTGGCATCGTATCAAACTGTGACAAAATCCCATTCCATCCATACTTCTCACTCAAGGACATTCTAGGATTTATTCTAATACTCCTCCCACTAATAACCCTAGCCATATTCTCCCCAAACCTTCTAGGGGACCCAGAAAATTTCACACCAGCGAACCCTCTAGTCACACCACCACACATTAAACCAGAATGATACTTCCTGTTTGCATACGCTATCTTACGCTCTATCCCCAATAAACTAGGCGGAGTCCTAGCCCTGGCCGCCTCAGTACTAGTACTCTTCCTAAGCCCCTTCCTCCATAAATCCAAACAACGCACAATAGCCTTCCTCCCCCCTCGGCGCCTGTGGCCCGGCCGCGGCCGTCCCCTCCTGGTCCCCTCACACTCACACACACAGGCCGGGCATTGATGGTAATGTATGCGAGGAAACAGCAGAGACTCAGTGATGGGTAAATCCCTTCCTCCTCCTCCTCCTCTGGCCCCTGGCCCCGCGGGGTCTCCCCCTCCCCTCCGCCATGTTTGGGCCCCCTTCCCCGGCGGCCGGTAACGGTTGTTCGCTAACGTCTCTCTCTTTCTCTCGCTTTCTCTTTAGCTGTCACGACCGCAGGGGGGACTCGCAGCCCTACCAGG